AAAATGTTTATACCCTTGAATGTTCAAATAATTACAAATTTAGTAAAACTGATTCATGAGACCCCATCTCTCCAAGTAAACGAGGCCCTAGTAGACAGGGGCTCCAAGGATCCACTGGCCCTAGCGAGTCAATCAAAAGCAAAATTTTCTCTTATTTCAAGAAAAAGAACAATATAAATTTGTCATCCACCAATTAAAATATTTTTTTTTTTCCATAAAGAAAAATACAATGACCCGATTGGGACCGTCGGACCTACTGTCTTCCCTATAACCAACAAAAGACCAAACCATTAGAATTCTAATCTTCGTTTTTTGTGCACGGGAAGTTCAGAACTCATTATATAGACTACAATAGTTTCAAGGCAGTTGTTTGAGTAGTACAAGATATCAACTGTGCAAGTAATTAGGCAGGGTGGCAGCAAAAATGAGGCCAACAAGGCAAGAGCTAGCAACTATATTCGCAATTTTATCAGACGAGCCTGCAGACAGAAAAACTCGGTGGGAATCACAATCTCCTCGAAAGCCTCTCACAATCATCGCCTGCAGAAAATGAAACAAGGAATTCATGTGTACGAGGAATAATGAATTTGTCCCAAATGTTCTTCTACAATCAACGATATGCTAAAAGCTAAAAATTGATGTCATAACATTAATCACGTAGCAAACTAGTTTCTCAAGTAAAGAAACAAGCTAACAGAAGAACAAATTCAAAACACGTCCTTTTCTAAATGGAAACCAAAAATTACAGAGATGATGGAAATTCAAACCTGGCTAATTTGTGCTGCATGGCTGTAGATATTGCTGAAAATCCGTCTAATATAGGTAAAGAAAACTGCACGAAAACCAATATACAATGTAAAAAACCCAATTGGTTTTATGTGGAAACGGACTAAGATAAATATGTATCCAATACCAAAATTCTTCTAATTCAAGAGGAAACAGATTTATAGGAGAGTCACAAGCTATCAGCTTCACCAATAGACTCAAAATTGAATAAGTTGGAGAGAATGTTAGAAGAAAAAGTTGCATAAATTCTTTTTTAATGTATGGAAGTCAAATCAGATACAGATTGCAGATATCCATAGATCAACCCTCCCTCTATTCTTATTTTCTGATTAAAATATGCAAAATATCAGATGTAGGAAATAGAAGTTAGACATGAAAACACAAGAAACTTTATTTTTTTTTTCAGTAGTGTTTTTTTTTTTCTTTCCCAGCCAAAGTTGAGAATCACTTTCTTCAAGTATTTGAAAAACATCATGTTCCCATGTCTCATGAAAAGCATATTTGGGTGATCATAAGTGAATGCTTATGAAGGTACATAATGATTTCAACACATCTCATGAAAATAAAGAAACAACATAGTGCACAGCCATTTTAAAAATACCATCAATTGTTTCCAGTGACGTCAACTGTTGCCATTTTATTCTACGAGATACAATTCCTAGTGCCACATTGCGGACCTGCAAACACACAAACAAAAAAAAGTTGGGTTAGAACATAAATCTAAATTAGACTCCCTCTGAATACTTGGCACCAATTTTCATGAACCATCTCATATTACCTCATCAAGCACGAGATTAATAAATCTTATAGACAGTAGGAGTGTGAGGATGAGTTCAGCCACTGGCACACCAACACTAGCCAACGGCAGAATAAACCATTGCAAAGCAAATGCAAGCTGCTCTGGCGTTGTCGTTGTTAAGCAAAGGCTGGCACTTTGAAAGATCTTTCAAAATAAAACTAATCATTAATGCCTGATAAGAATTTTGGGCAGATAAATTGGCACGGCAGATTAAGGCAAATTATAAAGAATGGCTTTTCCAATTATTATGAGCCATTCTCCCATTATACAATTACATACTTATAAAATTTGAGCAAGAAATATTTTGTAAATATAAATAAATGACAACGTAATGCAGACTCACAGTGAATGTTAAACACGCTGCCGTAGTAGCTGCTGACAAGCCTAACTGAGTGAGCTGTAATGGCCCGAATTTCACAATGACATATTTATAACCTTCAAAGGATGTAGGAGGAGCAGGTAGTCCAGTGAGTGAAGATGGTGGGCTTCTCGAACGTAAAAGAGAAGGGGCACTATCAGTACTCAACCCCAATAAAACAAACAAGATTCCACAGATCAACGTCACCCTTCCCAATTGATCCTACAACAATATCGGACATTTAATAAGCCTTTTTCCTTGCACGAACAATGTACATTTACTGCATATATGTTTCACTTAAAAAAATGTATAAGGTAAAACAATATTATAGTTATACAAGACATTTATTACCCGACTATAAAAATTACACGTAAAAATTAGTCTATTGACCAAAATAAAAGGACAATTATCTTTCATAATTTTTTAGTGTTCTACAAATAACCTAATGAGGTTTGTACTCTTTGGTCTAATCGATAAAAATCCCCATTCCTCGACTAATAATGCAATTTATAAACAAAAACAAATATCAGGGGTATTTGTAATTCTGAAACATAGTTGGACCTTCATTACAAATAGATAAACGTCGTT